GGGGGGGGGCGTTTAGTTCCAATAATGCTTTCGATCTCAAGTTTTCACTACCTAGGATATGAAATTGGATAATGTAAAGTGTATACATTGCAAGGAAATGAAACGGTTTATCGCTACTCCTGTTCAACTTCGCTTCAGAATACGAAATTAGGAAACTTCATGAACATTTACGAGAGAAACTGAACGGATAATGCCAACTTTTTGTTTCTACTGGTGATAATTACACACATTTCGACGAAAACGTGAATACGTCATAGTGAAAAACATAGATACCTTAGTAAATGGTACTAATTAGGATATCGAGAAACGAACGCAAATAAGATTAAGTGTAAGTAATATTCTTGTGCAGGACACATTCATAAAACCCTTGTAAGGAGAGTTAATAAAAGTAAAGAAGATAAAGTTATCCCTTTGCTTAATTGATTAAACACTACGCCATGAAGACGTATGTGGGAGCAAATGTATAGATCCATGCATTCTTAACCTCGGCACTAGTCGGATCTGAGTGGTCAGCTTCACGCCTCGGCCGCTTTATCCCCGGGGAAAAGACCATTAGATAGGAGGCTGAGCGAGCCCAAGAAGCGACATGGACGACGTGGACAGGAGAAAAGTCTTGCCCTTACCGGGACTCGAACTCCAAACCCTTAGTCGTACAGCCCGTAGCAAGTCGCTATACCGACTGCGCTATTTCGTCTCGCGGAGAGTTAGTAAAGTGTTTTAGAATATGACAAACTTTAAATCCTAGATAAATTACACTAATTATAAAGTTCACAGTAAATGGAACTGAGGAATGATGGCGAGAGTGATGTCATGATCTTTTATTTTCTCCAATCCCGAAACATGAACATTTAAAGTGTATAAAACTATGACATTTACACATAGTTTCGTATGGGTGTGAAACTTGGTCTGGCACAGATTGCTTTCGCACAGACGCACACTGTAGTTGATGCTTTCACACAGTCACCGATTCGATAAAGACACTGTACCGATATATCGATATCGGCCAGATTGTCGAATTGTTCTCTAGAAATAGGTAAGATATTTTATCGTATTCAGTAAACAACACAACCGTGTATATTCCTTCACACAGACGCTGACCTGTCGGTGTTTGCGGAAGAATCGAAATGTTTCTCTTCGCGTTCTCATTAATTAGATCATTTTTCTCACCATAATGAGAAAGTTACTGGCCGTCAGTCACAATGTGACTTTGACTTTGACTTCAGGCTCCAAATGAACCCGTGTGGAGGCGAGGGCGAATACCTCCACCGTCACCCTGCGAGTCGTAGGAGGCGACGAAAAGGGCAGTCTCGAATCAGGGAGTAAAATATGATCGGGAGTCCCAGGAGACTCGGATCCGAGAATGACTGTGCTGGTGAAGGCCAGCAGCAATTGTGAACGACAGACCCGTCCTCTCGTCAGAGAGAGCGCCCAACATCAAGAAACCGTAACTGTCTGACAGTAGTAAAAATCTGGTCGTAAGCCCCAGATGGGTGCTTTATTCCAAGACAGGCTTGGACAGAATACATACTAGCCAGATAAGCTTGAATTGTTAAATTAACTGCATGTTTCTCTGCAAGGACACAATTCAAGTGAATTTTTGATTGAAGATATTGTCTTGATTCTGGTGGCTAGCGTTGAAGAATAAATCTGTTTCATTCTTGAATAAAGATTTACATCAGAAACTTAAGAATATATGCCCAGATTGAGAATAGAACAATGAAGATACTTCCTGGATATGTCAAACAAAGAGTTTCCATCTGTCAAAACGGATCTAGAATCTTCGTAGCACCTTAATTCCATGGTTTACATTCACTGTTCACATTTAATGTTGAGAACGTGCACAGGAAGAATTTCTGAACTGCAATCGTCATATCGGAGTTTTCTGTCCAATCAGTAACGCAATTTTAGGTAGCAGATATGTCGAATAACCATGAAAGGCTTCAATATTTGTGTCCGAAAATCTTTTTCCCGTTTAGTATCTACGAATGTGAAGTTCAGTTTTTAAGTTTTCTTAATATAAACACAGAAATTTCATCAGTGTAAAAGAAAACTTCTGTATGGATATGCTGTGCAACTTCGACGTTCAAGAAACTAATGACGCGGAACAAACGCAATATTCTCACTCGTTTTCTGTGTCTGTGGACAAACAAAACGTGGGCATATTATTCTTAATTTTTTGCATTTTTGTATTTTTGATATACGGTTATATTAATGACAATATCAAAACAAGGAACACCACTAATTTTCTTTTGTGAACCAGCAGAATATAGATGCAAATTTTCGAAATGTTGGTATTATTTTTGTGATAGATACTTGGAACATGCAGTTCATATGAATACGCTGTTGTGTTATAATCTGAATTTCAAAAATGTGTTTAAATACCTAAGAGCTTTATTTTGAGTCCTGGGTAGTGACACATACTAAAAATGAGGATACCGTAAAGAAATTGAGAATTACTGTACAGTAAATAACTTACACTGAACGAAGTCTTGCACAAATTCCTTCAAACTTCAATGAACCGAGCAAACCAGTCGCCCCATACCGCACTACTTTTGATCGGTTTTCGAAATGGCCTACCAGCACCGATGCTGATGACACTGTAACGTGTGAAAAGAATAATCGATTCGATACTGACATTCGACATCGATAATATCAGATCCGTGAAAGCGGCCTAAGGAAAGAATATAGGCTTTTTTGTTATTGCTAGTGGGTTGGGACTAAGTCCCTTGTACTGCGGCCACTTCTGGCCTATTATACCAGCCCCAGATGATAGGTGAGGGTGGAGCAATTGGTGGAATGAAGATTGGCAGGGGAAACCGAAATACTAGGAGAAAACCTGCCCCAGCACCACTTTGTCCACCACAAATCCCACTTGACCAGACCCGGGCCGGGGTGGGAAGCCAGCGACTAACCACTTGAGCTATGGCGCGGCCCAAGAATATGGGCTTACTTCTAGATTGGGGTTGTTTGCAAGTAGAGTTCCTGAGGATACTTGGCTAATATGAGGGGACTTAACTTTATAAAGAAGAAACTACGTAATGACGAAGTTTATAATTGTCAGATTGACTTGCCACTCTTCTCCAGGTATTGTCAGAGCGATCGAATGAAAGATTCATGCATGTTCGATGGAAAATTTGAGGGAAACAGACCACTTCAGGGGTGTAGGAGCAAATGAGACGATGATGTTAAAACGGACTTAAAAATTTGTGTGTAAGGTTGTGGAGAGAAATGAATTGGCTCAGGACGCTCTCCACTGTCGAGATTGTGTGCATAGAACACTGAACTTTCGAGTTTAAAAAACAGCGGCGATTGTCTTAATATCACAAATGCTTTCTCCAGAGGTTTTCCAACAAAAATTATACAAGCACTTCTTACCTTCCATGCTCGATACATGTCCAGTTCACATTAACCTTACGTATTTAACCACTTCAATAATATCAGAAGTGTGACAGTAATGTTTCTGGTTGCGATATTCTCTCAGTTGTCTTGTTAGTACGTCGCTCTTGAGTCTTGAAGTATCTAAAACCTTTGTTATTCGTACAGACAGAAATCTAGCTTTGTAGGACCTAAAATTTTCATGTGTCAGTATTCATGTTAGCAGATTGCTACAAAATAATTTAAACAACATTCAAGCCTGTTAATTGTATTCGAAGCGATCATTTGTTACTCTTCTACTTGTCCATGCAGAAATCCGGTGTTAGGAAACTTTCTTTCGTGTCGGTTGGGGCTTTGTTGGAAGCACGACTGATTAAGGCCAGGCAAGGTTTCAACAGAAAATTACTACGCAATAGAAACAAGTTAATTAAAAATACATACACATTATTCAGGTCGATGGAGAAGATGGTGGACTTCAAATGGTGGTAAAACGTGTTAAACTTATGACGAAAACAGAATAACAGACATGAGCTCCCCATATGCTCGTACTTCAGGACGAATTGGATTCGTCGTAAACATACAGACAGGCCGTGCCATATCTCACGCGATTAGTCGCCGGCTTCCCACCGCGGTGGTCCGTGTTCGATCCCAGGTCAGATTATGCGGGATTTGTGGTGGACAAAGTGATGAGGTCATTGGATTTTTTCAATTGACCTAATCCTTCCGGCCGCACTATGGCCCTGGGGTTAACTCAGCCTCTAACAGAAATTAGTACCAGGAACTAATTAAATACTTTTCCTGGGGAGTAAAGCGCGGCCGGCGCATAAGGCTGACAGCCTTACCGCCATCTTTGAACCGATTGTCTAGATAATGCGGGACCCTTAACGTCTCACAGCGCTATGGGCCTTCACGGCCTGTTACGGGGATAGCTTTACTTTTTTTTTTTACAAAGTTGCACTGGGGTAGGTTTTCTCCGAGCACTTCGGTTTCCCCTGCCAATTCTCATCCGTCGACTCCACATTCAACATCTATCATCCGGGGTTGGTATAATAGGCCAATTAGTGGCAGACGTACCAAGTGGACTCAGTCTCACCCCACCACAGGAAATTAAAAGAAACATACAAGCCTAAAAACAAGATTAAAATATCATACGAAATTAATACTATTAAGTTTATTTATTCGAATTCCGAAAAAAAAAGAATATTTATGGAAATACAGGGTGTTGTAATTTATTACATAGAACATTCATCATGTACGGTGGAATTATGCAAGCGAATGTGTTAGAGAGAAGACTCAGAAGCACAGCAGCCGCACTTTAGGAATAGCACTGTACCTCATTTTTTTTTTCAAATTTGTTACTAACAATTATTGAATTCAGACAGAACACCAAATCCGTTTAGCCAGCAACTAGTTCAGATCAAATATCTGCGTATTGTTCCATGCAGAGATCTATATTCTGGAATTTAAAGTGATGTAGTCCGGTGGAAGACAACCAAAGTGTCAGAGGAATATATAATCTCCATCTCGATGGTAGAAAACAAACAAAAACAAAGTCCGTGGCTTTAGTCCGCAAGCGAACTATAGCGACCGAGCGACCGCCCCTTGTCGGCGAAGTTAGTGCCAACTTTAGCGGATAGAGGGTGTCGTGTGGTCAGCGCAATGAATCCCCACAGCCGTTAATCTCGATTTTCTACACCGGAGCCGCTATTTCCTTGAAATAGCTCCTCAGTTATCCTCACGAGGCTGAGTGAACCCCGTTCCAGATCCACCACTTCTCAGAAAATCTGGTAGCGCCGGCAATCGAACCCGGTACCTCTGGATCTGTAACCAGGAACTCTGACCACCGCAGCCGGTCATCGATGGTCGAAGAGTAGGAAACATCGGTTCACTTTCATCGCGCTACAAATTATAATGCAAAGGCAAAAACGTCCATATTCACCGGAGTTAGAACCTCAAATCCAATCTGCTGCTTCCCTCTCATAAATACCCCATTACTAGGCATGCTTCTGCAAAAACAGTCCAAACACTCAACTCAAAAAACAGAGATATTCACAGAATTGTATGGCCTGCGAGTTAAGAATTCCACTAGTAACTGCGAAATAGTATAAGTTATCCACCCAAGAAAAACAGTCAAATTAAAATAAAATAGCAATCATGGGCTTTGCTTAGTATACAAGTATTAGGGTTACACTGCGCAGATGTGACTTTACGTTTTGCTTTGGTGCTGTAAAGCCGTTCTGTTTACAGCGAACAGTAGATTTCTTCATCACAAAAGCCTGTACACCTGAAGATGGCAGTTTAGGCCGAAACATGGAGTGTCAATAAAGAGGAAACGACGAGTGAATAGTAACCGACGCAAAGTCAGAGGTTTTGGGTTGCCTGGAGAAAAGAATAAATTTTGTTCCTTACAATTTAGTCCAAAATCTTCCCTTGAACTAGGTAGCCCTACATATAATTTTACCAATAATTCGACAATTCTGGGAGATGTTACGAAATTTACATGGACTACAGATTCGGTGTCCCTGATTTATGCTTAAGAACGGGTTGACAACCATAAATGCGGATTTGAAAGGCATGTATATTATTTATAGCTATAACGCTGGTTTATTTATTCAAAACTGTACAACTTCACAAAATTGAGTTCTGAATTATGGGGTTCCAAACTCCTTAAAAACGCAGCTTCAGCGCCCTAGCAAACGACTCCTTCCTTATCCTGCACTAATTCGTCCCACGTCGTGTAAAACCCTGCACTGGTGGAATACTGGACTTTTACAACCGAACACTGATCCCAGTACGTGACACAGTTCGGATTCGTTCCCTACATACTGCGACAACACAGTAGCGTAGTTGGTTGAGGCACCATGCTACGAGCCGGAAGGTCGCGGGATCGAATCCCGACGAGGTGGATTTTTTTTTTTAATTTTATCTAATCCTTCCAGCCGCACTATGGCCGTGGGGTCGATTCAGCCTCTAACAGAAATGAGTACCAGGAGATTCCTGGGGGCAAAGGGTGGCCAGCACATAAGGCTGACAACCTTACTGCCATCTATGAGCTGACTGTCTAAAAAATGTGGAAGCCTCAACATCTCACAACCCTATGGGTCTCCATGGCCTGCTACAGGGATAACTTTACTATTTTACTTACTTTTACATGCTGAGAGACTGCACAGCTGCTAAAATGTTTTTACCCACTGATTACATTTGCACAGTCATTAAGAACACCCTACAATGATATATACAAATATAGCTATCCTAGTTCACAGCCTTCATGGTGTTTGTGCTTGCTACATAATTTGCCACTTTTCCACTTGGTCAATTGCAGTGATATTATCAAAGAGTAAACGTTATTGGTCCTCTTGTAGTATGTCTTACATCTCTCTCAGATTTAACTTCCTTGCATCAACCTAAAGGCCCATAATCCTACTCACATTCAAGGTGTGACCTTTATATCATGGAGTGGAACTTTATAAGTTGTGGATTTTCTATATTTAAGCATCTGTTACCCTGTGCATACAGCATACAGACTATAAATACTAATGAAAAAGAAAAGGCTTGTGAATAATCAAAAACTGTGACAAACCTAGGTACTGTTGAATATAAAAATTCAGAACTGTATGGGTCATGTCTTATTTAATTATCTCAAAAAATGTACAACTTGTGGAAGGTATATTTAACTTTATTTTATTCTAATGAAAAAGAAAAGGCTTGTGAATAATCAAAAACTGTGACAAACCTAGGTACTGTTGAATATAAAAATTCAGAACTGTATGGGTCATGTCTTATTTAATTATCTCAAAAAATGTACAACTTGTGGAAGGTATATTTAACTTTATGTTTCATTTTTCTGCAAAACTTCTGTAAGAAACACTCTTTACTCTGATAAATAATTAAAGAGTAACAGTCAAGAAACACATGAAGGTCTTCAACTAACATGACTGTTAAAAGTCTGACCTAAATGAAAGCTGAAATGGCTCAAAGATTTCTTGTAATAATTTTCAGTGTCAACTTTAATTATCCATCCTCACAGGTCTTGTCTCATGTGTACTGACAGACAAATGGACTGAGAAAAAAATGGCAATCCATGGGGTTGTGGCACATGAATAATTGCAAACCAGATACACATAAGCATACAGTAATTGTGTCTATTTAAACAAAGGTGGGAAATATCTCAATTTGCAATCAAGCTCTGCACCACATACTGACTGAAGATATCAGTTGCAGACATTACAGGACCACGTGGCTGCAAAATGTGTACAATTGTGGTTTTGTACAACTCCAGCTTCAATATTTTTTTGGTCAGAGTCCCCTTTGCTATTTGACACACCAACTTTTATTTTCATATTATGTGAAATGTAAGTCTGCTAGGAACTCTCACGGAGCTGAGCCCTTCTTGAGAACCTGCCAACTGTGCAGTCACTCAAGAACTTCCCAACATTTTATGGAGCTTGAAGGTTCATCACCGTGTTCACAAGAGCTCTCCACTGGTCCCTACCCTGAGCAATGGCAGATCTGCTTGGAAAAAATGGGATCAAAGATGAAATGACTGATTGGAGGTACTTTAACTAGGAGAGAATAATCATACATTCCAAGTTTTGAAAACAGAAAGTGTAAAGAAAGTTCAGAAAACTCATTTATTATCAGTTTATGAAGCATTTACAATAAAGGGGTGAAAAGGTTTTTAATGATTGATTGATTTGCTATTGGGCCCACTCCTTACCCGCTGACTACTCCACTGACTGATGATTGGAGATCAAAATTCTACAACTGCATGATCATTTGATACACAAGAAAAACCATGCAATTTTGAAGTGCAATTTGGGAAGAAACATTTGTGCTAAATGTGACATTATGTAACAAAAATATGAAAAATAAGCATTTCAAATGACCTAATTAAATCAGGGAAACTATGAACTTGGAACTGCATGTTACTCACTCAAAACTACCCTGTGCTTAGGGATATTCACAATTCCACATATACAGAAATACTTTTCCAAGAATTTAATTCATTTGTTGGCATGGAACAAACCACAAAGTGGGGAAAGAAGCTCAGAGTGAAGCAGATATTGCTTTTAACAAATTGAGGATAGGAAGCACTCGGAGATGACTGCTTCATCTCAAGGTGTGTTCAGATATTCCTGCACCTAATCATAACATACAATATACTATCTCTGAATGCAAACTGCAAGTAAATCTAATATTATGTACATTATAGCAGGCAAGCTGTTTCAGATTTTTATGTGACAATAAATACAGTTCTTCCCAAAACATTATCATGCATCAATAAAAGGCAAACCTATACATGGACAATCTTATTAATGTACTTTAAAAATACACACAAAAACAAAGAGGGAGACTCGATACTTCAAATGTCCATATGCAAATGATACACAATTTTAGATTACTATTTTTGTGTTTCTCCTGTGGGCTATTAAAGTGGTACAAATTCTATTTATACATTCTGATGCATGTCAAAACTACCTCATCAAGCGTTTTTTCCTCTTCACATTTAAACGTACACGATACTGAATGGAATTAAATATGATAAAATATTATCTTTACTCTGTATTATGCAGAAACATAAACATCAACACCAGACAAAATACTGTTCTTGCAGAACTAAACTTACTGAACACCATCTACTTATATATATAGTTGACTGCTCCAGATTCCCTCACATTTTCACATATTAGCAGATATGTATACTTAATCTACTATGTTATGCAACAATGCATCAGCATATTTTTGATCATTATGTCCAACATAAAGTATGTCAAGCAGAAACACAACCATATAAAAATATACAAAAATATGTTGCATTTCATATGCCAGGTCTTTTTAAAAACATTTCAAACACAGCAGCTTGCATGAAGAGACAGGACAAAATTGTTTCATTTCCCACTTTGTCTTTGGCGGGCCCACATGCTAAGCTCCAGTTTTCCTTCCTTGTACTGCCATTCGAGCATACATATGACAGCGGCAAAATTTTTAACTTCAAAATTACATTTCGAAAAAGGAGGTCGACAGGATTGGAAGAGACAAAAACGATATTCATTACAACAGCCAATGAGCAACAAGTCAAAATACATACATTTTACATAACAATTAACTAATATGACACTCAAAAACAATCTATATGCAATAATTACCATTTCTTCATTATTCTGGTGAAAGGTGGAAGGAAAACTAGGGGGGAAGGGGGTATAACATTTGCTGAATTATGTGAATAAATTGTTCTACATTTCCAGATAAAAAGTAGGAAACACTATCACCATAATAATTGTTTGCTTTTCCTCTCTTATATATATATTTTTTTGTTATTTTTGTTTTCTGCACAAATTTACAAAGAGACCTTGGCAGCTTTACACAGAATGAGATATGAATGACAACAGTCACTTAGTTGGTCGGTTTTTCTGTTCCATTCAGTCCACAGGGCCTGTGGAGACAGAACAGCTCAAGCAAATCAATGCTGTCCAGTCAGAAAGTGAAGGCCAGGTGGAAGTGGCATGCATGAAGCCAAGTCATGCCATAAACCAACTAATCTGGACCATGGTTTCGCTGTGGTGGGAGGCATGAAAGTGGGGACAAGGGTGGGAGGACTCAGTACAGAATATATTAAGGCCACAGACTGAAAAAAGAGTAGTTTCACTACAACCTTTTTTAGCTGATCATTCTTCGTTTTCTTTCAACTGGCGAGATCTTCGAGTCCTGTTATGGTGACACATGGAGCTTTCCAAAAAGAGAGAAATATATGCTGCCCACATGTTGCAAAATGCCACTGGTCTTCTTGGTAGGCCTCCGAAGTTGACATCTCAGCACAAAGAATGGCACCGACCCTTAACTGCCGAATCCTCATGCCTTTCCTGCGTTGCTTCTCCCTAAAAAATGCTCCTGGGACTTAGACAGTACCCAATGCAGGCCTGGGCCAACACCAGGTGTTCGACAGGCTCTTGGGATAACAACATGACCACAGATTGATTCATTTTGATAAGATAACTGTGGGCCGGGGAAACCCATTCCCTCCCCACCCCTCATCCTGTCGGTGCCAGGCCACAACATTATGTCATGTACAGTTCAGGTTGGCACCGTGTGCGCCACTTGGTCTTTCTTATAGAAGCACACAAAGGGACTTCTTCTTCTGTTTTGGTTTCTTCTCTGGTGACTTCTTGTTAATTTGTCGTACTAAATCATAAAATATCTGCAAACAGAAATGCACAGTTTGAATGCAACACAGTATTACCTGTAGTCAGTACATTACTTATCCACCTACGGTAACCGCCTAACATCAGTGTCACGGAGAATGAAGTGGAATAATGAGTAGGCAAACTACAATTTGAGGTTCTTGCAGCAATAACTATGGAGATTACTATTTTCTGGCATGCAATGTCACGTAGCCTGGTACAAATGTGCCAATCCTGATAAGTTCGAGGCAGCTAGTCAAACCAGCTGTTATTTGGAACCAGGTGTGAGCAGCACATATACCCAAATTGTGTTCAACTTTGGCTATTTTACACTAGTCTTTGGCTACGTCCAACTCACTCCTGGTATCTCTCTTGGTTGGATTTATTTTTTTGAATTACTCGGCAAATGTAACGATTATTTGGTATTCGTCTTGGCCCTGTTATTAGCTGTCAGCTGAAATGGAATCACACCATGGTTGGTGCTCATGACTGTAAACATAAGGGCCTACTGTGTATGTTATGACCTGGGTCATCTTGTGCCTTGTTTATTTTCTGTTATTACATACATTGTAACTGTATCAGTAATTTATTTACTTGCACAATGCACTCCTTAAGGAAGATCCTAAGCAGTGGACCAAATGTGAAAGTAAGGCAAATAAGAGGAAGTACTCGTTGGACTGGCAGCCACTCATCCATGATGTTTCTGGCTGTGTGGAAAATTGTCTGCATAAAAGAACACTGAATTTTGCCTGGAAAATTTATAACTCCTAAACAAGTAATATTCTCGTATGACTGGTTAGTCATGGAATTTGTACCGATATATTCATAAACTCAGTACATGCCTTAAAATAAAAATACTTATTTTATCAAGGTGAATAGACTGGGACAGAAATGTTTGTTTGTGCTAAAGAATTCTAATTGCACATGCACCAAAATTATCTTTCCTTACATACAAATTTATTTTACAGCTTAAATTCATAATAGTGGTGGGGTCCTGAAAACATGGTAATGAATCTTTGGGCTCCACAAAATACAAGGCATTTCTTTATTTGATAAAGGCTATTCATTTCTCAAGACTCTGCCCCATTGTATCAGGTATATTAGGTAATTATTTTGCTTTACATCTAAGCAATATCCAGTGGTTATATGGGGTATCAAATTGTAGGACGATTGTGAAAGATGAATTCGAAGGGGTACAGAACTGGTTATGGTCTATATTCCAGTATTCACTTGGACAGAGGAAAACCGTGACCATTTTTACTCTGGACAGCTGATCTCAATGTTGAGAATCAAACACAGGGCAACCTGAGTACAAACAGAAGTGGTAACCACTCAACCACAATATCTGGCAGGGAATTGTAGATTTCTTTAAATGAGGTACAAACTGAAAACAGTTAACTTATGGGTTCAGGAATTCTTTCTGGTAATCCAAACAGCATTATAGGAACAGCATATAACAGCATAGGAATATACCTGATGCACATGTGGATATACTCAGTTAAGTCATTCACTTACATCATTTACATTAATTTTGGCTTTGGCAGATGTTTCCATAAATGCACAGCTGAACTGCCGTGCCAAGTTGACCCCCTGGTCCTTGCCGACCACTCGTTCATCTTCCAAGTCACACTTATTCCCCACTAACACCATCGGTACATCTTCAGTATCCTGTACATATAGCATTTTAAATGACAAATATTTTACTGCAGACCAATCACAAAATATGTTCAAATACACTGCACGTACAATACAGTTTCATATAAAAATGGGTCAACAGTATATAGCCTGAACTACTGGTAGTATTTTTAATCGTACCATAAATAAATAAAATAAATAAAGGTATGGCAAAAATTCAAATCATGCACTACTTTTCAGAGGCTCATTTTCTCACTGGGAGCAATTATTAGCTAAGTACTGTAGAGTTTATTTTATGTTCTTAACACATTTGCACCTTTCAGCTTGTGATGAAAGTAAACTAACATTGAAAGTGTATGCGAATTATAAAATCTGAATGCAAACAACTAAACAGCACATTTAGCCCTAATGCATATTCTAACCCCAGAACTTCTAAATCACATTGTTTAGTAATCTTATTTGTGAAGTCTCCATCTACAAGAATAACGGGGGAAAAAAATTAACTTCTACTTCTGACTTCTGAAATCAAAACATTTTTTTCAAATATATCTTGACATGAGATGACTTCATTCCCCACTGGAACAAGCAAACCTATACCAACAGTCTTTACCAGGTACACCACTACTACAAACATGGCAGTTAACTTTATTGGATATGTTTTTGCTTGGTAACTGCACAATTTCACAGGCAGGCATTTTATTATTAAATATACTCATATATCTAATCTCCTGCACAAGTTTGACCTTTCTTGATTAGTCTGCAGATGGAATAATGACTCGATTTCATAATTTAATCTGCATGTGGTTTATGATAATCAAATCTAAGGTTACGTAATGGCTAATACAATAAAGTCACACAGCAAGTGTCTCATGCTGATTGGTGCACTGAAATATACCCCGTGCATTCTCAACCGTTCAATTTTGGAATGCCAGTCTTCCAATCTAATTGGTTATTAAAATGGTATATATGTCATCACATGCTCCGTATCTTGTTTTAGGGAAAATGTCAACAGAATTCTGGGATGAAGTGATACAAATCACTAATGGTTGAGTCTCTTTCTGGCTGCTGCTTGCTATGTCCAGCACACACACATACTTTTGAGACTGCCAGTATAAAATTATTATTTACAGCAAACATATCCTTTTGCATCTATGCAGGGTTTTGCAAAGTCTGGTCTTGAACCAAGGGCTTCTCCAATTTCACTGGAACTATGCTAAATAGGGGAAGCCTTTAAACTGAGGAACATTATGTGGAACTTCCATTTCCAAAGTTCTGTTTGCCGTTGCCGGCCCATTTGTGACCAATATCACTCAAATGATGAGGCATGAAAAATAGTCAATTACAGTATAAAATCAAGCTCTGCTGCCAATATAAACATTCAAGTAGGAACAGTTATTTTTGAAATTCAAAGAACAATGTTTTTTAAACAGACTATATGGAAGGAAACATCACACTTACTTTAACCCGCAAAATTTGTTCTCTTAAGTCTTGTAAATCATTAAATGTCGATTGTGCTGTGATGGAATACACTAGGACGAATCCCTGGCCATTTTTCATATATAGATCCCTCATTGCTGTAAATTGTTCCTGAAAATCAAAGCGGCAAGGATCAACACAAATTCAATATAATAACTAGATCTATCCACAACTGACATTATTTTCCGACGAAGCATGGATTCACTTGTAGGGATACATAATTTCTTCACTAGTCGTAACTGTAACTACATTTAAGTATTACATTATTGCAGGTTTACACAATTTACAACCACTACACGCTAATCTTCCGAGTGCATCTGTCATAGTCTTCACGTATTTATAATGCGGGAGTTAAACGAGTCTCACTGAATCACATGCTCCCGATATTACTGTACTACTGCACACACGAAGTTTTCTATTTCACACGCAAAATCTTCACAGGCAGACCTTTTGTTTTCTTCTGAGCTCCTGGTTTCATTTCACTCTGCCAGCTTACAGCTGAACTGTAACTGCCCCTTGAACTTGAACTCTCCACTCTCAGTTCCAACTCGCTCTGTCCGTGTGCTTCTGCCACACTACTGCTGCTTCTACGATGAACTCAGAACTCTGTCACTCACTTATATAGCCGAGGGGCCAACATCAACCAACAGTAAACACATATCATGTGACCCCTACCCACTGTTGCTGTGTGATGTCACCGTGCATGCACAGCTGATGGACAAGCAGGAAACATGCCATGTGACGGCCACCCACTCTTGATGCGTGATGTCACCAATCCTACGCCAACTGACAGACACACAGAAAACACAGCTTGCTCTACTGTCGAGGGCGTGTTTACAGAGCTGTTTCCTGGCAACACGATCATCACATACGTCACAATAAATACTCAAAATAATCTCAACTGGAGTTCACAGAATCCACATCTAAATAATAAGTCCTGCTCCATCCAGAGAAAGTTGGTGTCTGGTGTGCTGTAATTGCAAGGAGGATTGCTGGACCTGTGCATCTTAATGAAATAATTAATTGTGAAAGATATGTGCAGGTCATTACTGGGCAATTCTTTCCAGAGTTAACAGAAGAAGAAAGACTCTATGGCTGGTTTCACTAAGACTCAGCTACTGCCCACACTGCATATGCGTCTATGCAGGCTTTGTTCAGTGTCTTTGGGGAGAGAATTATCTGCAGTGATATTTGGCCAGCACATTCACTGGATTCTAAACCTTGTGATTTTTTCTTCTGGGGTTGTTTGAAGGACAAAGTTTACAACAGTAACTCCCAAACAGAAGAACTAGAAGAAAATATTCCTGCAGAACATCTTCAAAGGGTAAATCAGAACCTCTTACACTGGTGCGAGGAGAGTCTATGCATAGAGGGACAGTATTTTCAACACCCCCCCGTTATTATAAACTTCCCTTCATTCCAAATGTTACTAGCCATCAGTCACACTGATTTATTGGCAAAATTTGTACACTCCTTGCAGCAAGCAGTGCACTGGCCGCCTTGAAGCGCAGAGCTGTGGAACTGATAAACAAAGTAAAAATCCTCCTTGTATAAACCAATAAAAAACTTCTGAGAATTGGGATTTGTGGTTCACATGGTGGCAAACATTAAGACCACAAATTCCTGGAATGTGATACCATGTAAACTGGCAGATATATACCAAAGTTCCCATCTACCAAATTACACAGCATCACATCCTAGAAGACAGCAGTCTTAATTGTGGAGAAGAAAGTGATATATGTTAGCCATAGAAATTCTTTCCCAGCAGTTTATCTTCAAAACATACATCAGATCGATGAAATAGAGGACATAACAGGCTCACGCTGGCCATGGAGATTTCTCAACAGTTAAATGTGCAAGCAAATCTTTGGTTCTTCTGTAGCAGAAACCATTAAATTATCATTCAAAGTACTCAAAATTGGCACCAAAACAATGTCTACTTTGTTGCTAGAGTCAAGTGCTTTATGCCTTAAGGATGGTTAAGAAGTCACAACACATATCATTCAAGCTTTACTTTCAGCACACACAAATAACATGCTTCAGAAGAGCCAAAACTTCAACATTGAGATAAGTCTCATTCTGGTAAGTAATTAGAGCTAATCAAATTTATGTAGAATAACATTAAGACCCTTACATGGAATAACTGCATTGAGGTCAATGCTGAAATTCTGCTTACCGTGCCAGCTGTATCTAGAATTTCTAGCATACACTGCTGCCCATCCACTTCAACTTGCTTCCGGTAGCTGTCCTCAATGGTAGGGTCATATTTCTCTACAAAGATGCCTTGAACAAACTGGACGGTAAGAGCTGATTTGCCCACACCTCCACTCCCCAGCACCACAATCTTGTACTCACGCATCCTCTATGGTAACGCCCCTTCCCACTGGTTCTGAAAATAAACACAAATTAAATTCCTAATATTTACTACTAAAGAAGACCACAGCAGAATATAAATACAATTTGAAAATGAACTGCCAGGTTTAGGATAGAATTTCGCGTTCACAAGAGCCTTCCACTGGTCCCTATCCTGAGTCAGATCAATCCAATCCATACCATCCTATCCTATCTCTCTAGGATCCATTTTAATATTGTCCACCCACCTATGCCTTGGTCTTCCCAGTGGTCTCCTTCCTTCTGGCTTTCCCACCAATATCCTATATGCATTCCTCTTCTCCCCCATTCGTGCTACATGCCCTGCCCTCCTTGACTTGATAATTTTAATTATACTTGGAAAAGAGTACAAGTTATGAAGCTCCTCATTATGCAGCTTTCTTGTCAACAGTTAGCATTTAATATTACAACACCAGGCACCGTTATGAAATTCACAAGGAAAGATGTGACAATGGTAAGGAAGAACAACTGCACAAACAAAAATCTATGCTACAAAGCAACAAAATGTTTTCTAGATTCTAAAGGGTTCTGACAATGGCGTATAACACTCAGAATTACTGGGGTTTTGAACTTTGTCTATCATCCAGTATTCTAGAAACTAGAAAACACAATGTTTCAGAAGATGGATCTGTTTCCATCCTCAGGTGAGGGGGGAAGACACCTACTCAGTTGGGTTCATTGACTGAGGTAAACTTTTTCTAAGGGACCCAAGTGAGTAGGTGTCTTCCCCTGTCACATGAAGACAGAAACAAACCCGGTTTCTGAAAGTGTTTTTGCTAGTTTCTAGAATGCTGAACGATGTACAAAGTCCAAAAATCCAGTAATTCCAAAATGCTTTCTGTTTAGTTAATAAAACAAGTGAAGTGGTAATGAAAGCAAGTTATGAATTACCTTATCTGAATCTCACTCTAAATTTCTTGTACAAAGGCCAATTTATTCAAGAATAATTCACTGAAACTGAAATTAAGTGTCTTTATAGGGAGAAGGACTGAAAAAAACATCTGTCTCACTAGTAATATGTAGGATGAATCTGGCCTTACCAAAAACCTCAGAGATCAATTAGAATACCAAATACAGAGCTTCATGCCTACTTAATAACAATTTCAATGCATGGCACTAGTACTAGTGAATGTCTTTCCTGTGAATTGGAGAAAACACCTGGATTTGCTTCAGGAGAGTGAGTGCAATGAATTGTTATCACAGAGAACCTGCAATGATGCAAGGTGCTGAATAGTTTTTATGACCTGAGATACTGAATCACATATTCTTGGAATTGAAGGAACAAGCTGTAACTCAGAGTTAGGAGAATTTAACGAGTCCAAGACTTTTGCTTTTCAGTTGATATCACAAGGCACCTATGTGAGTTGAAAAGAACAAAGTGGTTATGTCTACACATGACATAAAAACATTTCAAACAAAACTCTGGAAATTCAAATAAAGAGGGGCAATTTGGCACATCTGCAATTTGCAAATTCTTACATGAGAGAGAGTCACATCCAATGTTCAACAACTATACACAAAATACTGGACTCTTAAAAAGTGAATATGTTACGTTTCAAGATTTAAAGCTACGTGAAATAAAGCTTGCCACATTTATTGCAATATTCAATTCTGATTAAGCTCTACAAACGGAACTGACTGAACTGCAGTGAGGCTCAATGTGCATGCCAGCAGTAATTGTGTGTGTGATCAACTGATTTTGTTCATGAAAAGAAACGTGACTCCCGAGACATCAAGAATAAGAGGCGCACACACTTGTCATCTGTGATGAAATTAGTATTAGCTCAAGAATTAAAACCCAGCTGAGTGTAAATAAAAGTGATTCCACTGAAAAGACTTCCATAACAGAATAAATGATGTAGCCCTAAATAAAAACGTTAGCCATCACTTTTTCATTTGCGAGCTAGTAGTAACATTGAACTGTTTTAATTTTGTATTTAATGACGCTAAAGCAGATGATGAAGTGTTACATGGTAGGAGGATCATTGAACAGGAAATGATGTGGAAGGAAGTATTTCTGACAAAATTCAAGACACAATCTCACAATATGCCTGTAGGCACCTCAGTCAGGATTGCCTTTCTCCAGCCTGAGCTATGAACCTGGCACCTTCCAGACATGAAGTGTGAGTGCTAGTTATTCATCTGTGACATCCAGTGTCAGTAAATAAACAAATCTACAGATGCTGGTGGCCAAAGTCTACTTACATGGCTTGTGGCCCACCTGAAACATTTATTTCCATGTAATCCGTATGCAGCAGTGAGACTAACATGCCTGTGCTCTGGGAATTCCCTGTGGTTTCTCTACAACTGATAAAATAAGTATCCAGAAGGTCAGGGAGAAATGCACATAAAGGGAAAAGAAATCTACATCTCCCTTTCCTTCCTGTATGAACAAAATGTGTGCTGCCAACTGCAGAAGTCAAATGATGTATGTTATGTTTATAAGGGTGAAATGGAGACTGGGNGGATACAAGCTTACTTTAACACATCTACATCCTTGCAAACAGAGTTTCGGTGGAAGGCGAAATGTCAATGCCATGGTAAATGCAGGCAGGGGTGCCACAAGGCTCAGTCCTGTCCCGTACTCTTTACAATTTCTATATAAATGATGTCCCCCAAACACATGTTCACCTAGCCCTCTTCGCAGATGACATCTGTCTGTATGTGAAAGATCGCAAGGAGGGTTTTATTGTCAGAAAACTTCGGCATGGTCTTAGTTCATGGAGACCTGGTGTCAGCACTGGAATATAAAAATTAATGAAGACAGGACTCAGGGGTACTTCTCTTGTAGTCGTCAACCGCCTGAGTCTTCTATTACACTAAATGGATGAAATATTCCGCTTGTAAATATATGCAAAATATATCTGTGTAATCTGCGATAAGAGAGTTACATGGAGATTGCACATAGAAATTATCGAAGCTAAGGCCTTAAGAGTTTATTCCGTATTCAAAAGTGAGCGATTGAGCGCTGACATTAAACTGACCCTCCACAAAGCTCTCATTAGATCTGTAATGACGTATGCTAGTCCTGCCTGGGAATTTGCAGCGATACGAATCCAACAAAACTGCAGTGCCTGCAAAACAAGGTTCTCCACACCACTGGCAATTTTCCAAGGCGCACAGCAGATTGAGATTTACACAAGGCTTTCAAAATTCTGTATGTATATGATTATATAACAAAATTATGCAGAAGTCATACAAAATCATGATAATGAAAATGTTTCCAATATTTGACAAGGCAAAGCCCCGACACAGAAAATATATAAGAGGCTTAAACTTGGCGGTTGTCAAGCATATGACCGTTCAAGTCACCAGACTGCCGTTGTAGCGGATGCTACTAGAAAAAGGGCATAGTCTGCTGTAATGAGCCTGGACTGACAGAGGCCTTGTATATATTGTACACAGGATTAGATAATATCTGTAAACTCTCTCGAACTCCCATCCCAGGAGTAGTCCAAGGATTTCTGGAGGTAACTGTCTTTAAAAATGAAATAATGGTATACATATTACATACTTCTGTATTACTGTAAACAGCCGTTATCAAACAAATCAGCTGTGCAGCTTTGCAAGGGGATGGACAGAAGAGATTGCAAGCCTTATCTCTTGCGTAAGAAAAATGTCAATACCATAACATGCCTCTCTGCTCAATGAAATCAAAGACATGATTAAGGAAGTCGATTCATCAGTTGGGAACTATTAATCATTAGCAGGAGCACCAACGCCCAGGGCAAAGTCCTGCCACTAGATAATATTTTTACTCCATTAAAGTGACTCACTGCTGTAATCAACATCAACTCTGTTTGCCTAAACATGAAGTAACTAACTCCAGGAACGAGCCTGATTCTTGATAAGATTGTCGCCACTAATCCATTGAGGAAATTTCTTGCTTTTTGTGGTTTAGTACCATGTTCACAAGTGCTCATCACTGGGCCTCAAGCGAGCCAAACAAATCAGGTTTGCCTCTATTACTGTTAAGATCTATTTAAATATTCTTATATGCTCCTACCTCTTCCAAAAAAAAAATCCTTTAGGATTTCCGGTAAAAAATCTGTACGCATTTCAGACTTCTCCCATTAATACTACAGGTTTCCTTTCTCCATTGTCCTTGACCTGATCACCCTAGTAACGTTTGGTTGTGAGTATACATTATGGAGCTCTTCAATCTACAATATCCCCCCAGCTTCCCATCACTTCCTATTGCTCAGTACCTGGTTTGAATCACCCACACGGAAATTTTTATCATGATAACATATGAATACTGGCTGCGACGAACTTGTTTTCCTTCCAAAGTTAACGTAAATGGGAGGAAATTCATCAGTATAGTTTACCTTTCCAAGCAGGAACTGTTTATTGCCGTAAACACGAGATCTCCGCCTGGGAGGCCTTAATCATATCTGAGGATTGCACAAATCCTGAACATACCGCTGTAAACAGGACCCTATTAGGATTTACAGTTAACAAGAACTGAGAGAGAAGTTCAGCTGCCGCTCAAACACAAATCAATAAACGCACGTGTCGTGATCCTTGAGCTCAGGACCACAAATACAATGCCCTGTTTTTTAAACCGTGGGGCACATGTTGAAAAAAAAACAAGTTTCAGAAATGGGCCGTGTAACAAATATCTGTTAGTTCTTTAGGAAGCAGTGGAAACTAGACGTACAGCGACCGTAACAGTCAAATGCGATCTGACAGAATAAAGAGAGATTTTACTTCTCCAAATCACCAATACTTAAATGAGCTTGAATATAGAGAAGCGATGTTTTTACTGAGAAGAAATTTAAAATTTAGTTTTGATTAGATTTGCTCTTCAGAGCGCTATTAACCCAGTCACTATACATTGTGTAATTGTAACTATGCCATACACAACGACTTTCATTGGTAGAAATAAGAGTAGGGAATGAGTCCAAATGGTTGATTTTCCACAATGAGCAACAGAGAATTTCATAACTGCTCGGGCAAAGCAACATTCAACATATGAGGCAGAGCTGTGTCCAGTTG